CTCACAGTGGGGGAGAAGGCAGGAGCCGATGCCGTCTTCCCCCCCTCCCCCGAGGCTTCTCCCAAAGGGCTGTGCCCGATAGTGGGGGAGAAAACCGGATAATCCGTTCCTATTGGAACGGATTATCCGGTTTTCAATGCATCTCTGTGGGAAAACGCGTTTCACTTAATGTTTTCCCATAGCGATGGTTTTTTGGAACCAATTAACCTCGCTATGCGAGGCACCACTGTAGAGTAGTCCTAGATCGAGCTCAAAATGTTAGCATGTATACATTACTGAAACAGTGATGTCTACGTTGGCTTGGGCATGTCATGAGAAGGGCTGATGATAAAATTAAAAAAAATCTTCTGTATCAACAATTAGTGCAGGGAAAGCACCCCAGAGGGAGACCACAGCTGTGATACAAAGATATTTTCAAATGGGATCTGAAGGCTTTAGGAATAGACCTCAACAGATGGGAAAACTTGACATCTGAGTGTTCAGCCTGGAGGCAGGCAGTACAGTATGGCTTCTCCCAATTTGAAGAGGCACTTGTTCAGCAGGCCAAGGCAAAGAGGCAGTCCCGAAACCAGCAAAATCAAGTAGCTGGACAGGGGACAGATTGTATTTGTCTTCAATGTGGAGGGGACTGTCACTCTCGTATTGGCCTTCTCAGCCACACTAGATGCTGTTCCAAGATCTCTACTCAGAACACATTACCATAGTCTCTTGAGACTGAAGGATGCCTACAGTTATAGAAATGTAGACATTTAATTTCATATGCACTGATATCTGATTTGTGTATCTTGCTTTATCATGAGATGACAAACCTTGCTGAATAAGATAGTAATTCTGGAAAAAGTTTAAGTTAGCTGGGGGAAAAAAGAAAGATTAAAAAAGATTGAAAATGAGATGGATTGATTCTATAAAGGAAGCTGTAGCCCTGTGTTTGTAAGCCATGAGTAGGAAACATGCCATCAATCTGCTCAAGCTAATTTTCCAATTTGGACATCCTTAGAAATGACTATTTTCCTTCCTCAAGTAATATATCTATCAAATCTGTTTATTCCTCCCCTATGGAACAGTCTTCCTGCAGAGATCTGTCTGGCTCCCTTGCTGGGTGTTTTTAAGAGCAAAACTTAAGACTTGGCTCTTTGGCCATTATTTGATAACACAGAGCGAATTATTTGATCAGCAAATCTGTGTATGTCCTGTTATGTGGCTTCAAGCAGGAACCAACTTATAGTGACCCTAATAGGACTTTCAATGTGAATAAGACTTTTAAAGTGTGATTTTACCCATTCCACCCCCCTCAGTGAGTTTCCACGACCAAGGAGAGATTCAAACCCAGGTCTCCTGAGTGTTAGTGTCACTCTATCCATGACACCACACTGAGTACCCACTACTTTATCCATGCTTCAGCATGATCTGATGGATAACACTTTTGCTGAGGAACTTGACTGACAGTCAGGGATAGGCTTCATTTTTCCTTTAGAGCAATGAGTCTGCGGCATGTTGCCTGAGCATTCTTGAATGATTGGTCCTTCAAGTACTGAGCTACAGGGCACCTATTGTCTGCTTGTGGGGGTCAGAAATAGTAGGTGGGAGCAGCAGATAATAGCTGTTCTCCCATCTCTCCTACCTGAGCAAGATTCTACTGCTCAGGACATCATGGCACCTGTTCAGAGCCTTTTGATTCCTTGTTAATTTAAACAGATTGGAGAAGGCTTGTGATGAGACATGTACTTGGAAATATTAGTAGGTTAGCTTTCTTGCTTTGTATGGAACATTGTTTCTTAGCTCTCAAGATACAGAATTTGAGTGAAGTACCAAGGAGCTGCTGAGGGGGCCATGAGGTACCACCACAATGCTTGTTAAAACCTTCCACTTTTTGAGAGACCTTTAGGTACTACCTGTGAAAGGACAATTTTGCCTTGTGACGTGGTACTGCATCAGCCCCTCAGATAGCTCCGCTGCCTCTCTATCTTTCTTTATGTTGGGAATGGAAGACTCAAGGAAGCAGTAAGAGCCAACAGTCTTATCAGGCTTAATGGAAACCACTTTTCCACACCCAAACTCTCCAACTGTCCAATAACACTCCCTCTATATCCAAAATCCAACTCACAACTGGAAGAGATTTTATGTATTTTATTAAAACAAAGAAGGAGAGAAAGAGAGAGAGAGAGAGAGAGAGAGAGAGAGAGAGAAAGAAAGAAAGAAAGAAAGAAAGAAAGAAAGAAAGAAAGAAAGAAAGAAAGAAAGAAAGAAAGAAAGAAAGAAAGAATCAGTTACAAAGGTTAAAAAGTTAAAATTCCACTCAGTTACTCAAAATGGAATTCTCAGTACCATGGAGCAAGTGTATAATGCAGACACAGGAAAATTCCAAATAAAGTTCAAGAATTAAGAAAGTCTTATCTAACTTATTCCATACTCAGACCTAAGCAGAGCAGGCTATCACACACTTGGTCTACTTGAGAGTAAGACAAGTCATGGGCAGGCAACATTTCCTTCCCTGAGAGGATATTAAAACTCCAAGACTAGTCCAGTAAGATTTCCCTTTATACAGGCTAATTGGTCATTTGGTGACTTGATGCCACTAATAATTAATTTTCATCCCTTGTAATCTCCCTTTCATCAGCTGCATGATCAACTGAACAACAGGGAGCCTCCTGCACAACTGCCATTGACTCTTGGAATGGGATACAGTAGGATTCCCATATCAGCAGGGGAGCAGTTCCAAGCTCCTTCATGGATGCTGAAAAATGCTACACATAACATGGTCTCTGGCTCCAACTAGTGAACAGTTCTAATAACTTCATCTTTAGAAATATAGATATTTCTAGGATTTTTTAAAATATTTTTTTTACAATTTTCAGACCATGGATAAGTGAATCAGTAGATATTGACCCCACAGATACTGCGGTCCTACTATACTGGCTTTAGTAATTAACTTAATCAACAGTGTTACAATATCTCAGCTTTCTTTAAATATCAAAATGTTCAATGCAGGAGATTACAAACCTTCCCAAATATCTCAGGTAGTCCCAAAACTTGTCCAATGAACACACCAACACAGATGAAGATTGCTGTAACTTGCCCTAGTGAACCACGGATCTGTTTGGGGGATATTTCACTCAAATACATTGGGAGTGCAGTCAATGACACACCTGTGAAAGGGAAAAGAGGAAAATACAATTTCTTAATGGAATAAAGATTAATACCTAAAGCTGAGAAGGATACCCATTCTGAACATTTCCAGGGTTGATCAGAATCTGTGAGCTCACATGACACAGTGATTAAGAGTGTGAGCCGTGGCCCATGAAAAAGAGATGTAAAGAATATTTGCTAACTCTGTTCTTATCAATTAAGAGTGTCTTGATTTGATGAGACACCTCAATGAAGAATTTTCAAGCCTGTCAGATTCCTCACTGTCATTTGCAAGTTCTCTTTTTTTCCTTTTAAGGTCTTCATATTTTATGTAAACTGTATTTGAACAAAGATAGTATCCTTTGTATTCACAAAGGCTTTCACGGCTGGGATCTAATGGTTGTTGTGGGTTTTTCGGGCTCTTTGGCCGTGTTCTGAAGGCTGTTCTTCCTAACATTTTGCCAGTCTCTGTGGTCTGCATCTTCAGAAGGAACGTTAGGAAGAACAACCTTCAGAACACGTCCAAAGAGCCCAAAAAACCCACAACAACCATAGTATCCTTTGTTTCTGAGAAGCAAAATCACCAGCACCAAACAACTAGCTAATCATAAAAAAATGCAGACAACTCTTCTAAGGCTTTTACTCCTTAAAAAAAATCAGTGCAACAAAATAGTTATGACTATCGTTTTATCCAAGATGTACAATTTGTATGAAGGTGTTATTCTGTGCTCTTTTGCTTAATTTCTACAGAAAAACCTTTCTTGAAACAAAATTTGTCACCCTCTTGCAGATAAAAGAAAAGAATTTAACAGTTTCTCACATACCTGTGTGCAAGTGAGATAAAGGGTGCACATCCCTACCATGAAGTCACTGGGTTCAAAATGTTAACAACAAACTCCCCAACTACAGACTTGCCAAACAGTCTTGAGCAAGCATTTAGAATCATCATCCTTTAAACCTACTGTCGCATCCCCCCAGTGTCCCTTGTTTGTTCTCCCCCAAATACAGGTTCACCCTCAGGATGCGTTGCCTCTTTTTTTTTTAGCTCCCACCAGTGGATCTAGTCCACAATATACCAAATATATTTCAGACTCATGCTGCCAACACAACAGGTTTTATTGATCATTTAGTTGGTATGTAAATCACAGATGTAAATCACAGTTGTTGAGGATCATTCATTAAATTGGATTGGATTACACATTTACTTGTATGTTGTTGTTTTCATAGTAACCTCTTTAACAATATTCTTTAATCATCTGTCTATTCTCTATTCTCTATTCCTTTTAACTCTTTCCTATTCTCTATAACACTCCAACTTTCCAATCTCTGTCTTAACTCTCTCAAGTCAATGTCCTAACTCTATCACTTCCATTCTCTATCTCCCTCTCCTTCTCTCTCTAACTCTGTCACTCAAACTCCACCCCTCCTGTCCTGTCATAGGCTCCTGTACTTGAGCTCCATATGATGGACAGGAGTGATGTGGGCATTCCGCTACATACCTCGCCCCTTGGAAAGTTTGTTTCATGGGGTAAAACCTATTATTCTAAGCTGAATCAGAGCAATTTGACTTTGTTGTGGCTTGATTTGTAGTCTCTTTTACAGCTGTTTTTGGTTTAGGTGATGACATGAAGATTCCGGATTGTGTGGACACCCAATGTGATTTCATACGTGAAGAGATAATGCTCACCTGCTTATCTCCAGCTCTCCTTTATTATCTTTCTTTTTCTGTACAAAGGTGAACATCACACTTTAGCTTAATAACACCACCAAGAGTTATGCCTGCTGTCCTTTTGTAGAACAAAACAAACTATCGTAGAAACACACAATAATCAAATTAGAAGGAACCTATAAAGCTACTGAGTCCAACCCCCTGCTCAATGCAGGAATCCAAATCAAAGTATATCTAATAGATGGTTCTCTAATTTTCTCTTGGATGCGTCCAGCATTGAAGTGCATCTTCTGAGGCAACTGGTTCCATTGTCATACTCCTCTAACAGTTAAGAAGTTTTTATTGGTATTCAGCCTAAATGTGACTTCCTATAAATTGAGCCTATTATTACATGTCCTGCACTCTGGGATGATTGAGAACATTGATATCATCAAAAAGGTTATCTTATCTCATACTGAAATTAACCCTTTCAGGAAGCAATATCAGCTGTAATGGACCACAGACTCAAACTGAGAGTATTATAATGCATATATTATAGTGCTCTGAAGTAACTGTTAACAGTGTCATACATTTGACCTTGACAATGGATCATTTTATCAAGTATCTTCCTGAACTCAATATATGCTACATCCACAGCACTCTACTGATCTACCAACCTTGTATCTCTCTCTCTCTCTCTCTCTCTCTCTCTCTCTCTGTGTGTGTGTGTGTGTGTGTATTCTGGCATGAATAATTTTTGAGAAATCTATCAGGTCTCTTAGTAATCATAGCATTCTTTTACAAGTTTTCCCAAAATGACTATTTAATGATCTAGTTAGAAAATGATCTGATTTCTTAATATTAAGGTCAAATTAACCAGTTATTAATTACCCAGGTCCTCTTTTTTTTTCTTTTTTTTCTTTTTTTTTCTTTTTTCTTTTTGCCTTTCTGAGGTGGAAATCACATTTCCCAGTTTGTAGGGGTTTCACCTGTCCTCCAAGAACACTCAAAATTATAGACAAAATTCTAAGATTATGTCAACAAATATCTTTAGTACCCTTTCATGCGTTACATCTAGTCTAGAGACTTCTATTCATTTAAAATAGCCAGGTGTTTCAGTAACACTGCCTCTTCTGATATTTTGCGCTTTAACCTCCTCACTGTGTCATTATTCCCCTCTCACATGAGTATTGTTTGTTTTTTTAGAAGACAACACAGGACCTACCGCTTCTTGTTTTCTCTTGTTTTGTACATAGACAACCCCCTGCTTCTATTATTTTTAACCTCACTTACAAGTCTTGACACACTCTAAACTTCAGCATACCTCATAAATTCTGGGTACTTGTTTGTCCTCTTCTTGCTTTTCCTTCTACTTCTTGTACATGACTGATTCATGTCACAGATCATCTGAAAGCTCATCATATAGTCACTGGGAGCTTTTTTTAAATGCCTCCTATTTTTCTTTTTTATTGGTATGGTTTGTGTTTATGCTTTCAGTATCTCACCTTTAGGAAACTCCCACAAAAAGGGCAGAAACCAAAATGAAATGGATCTAGACAATCTGAACCACCCAGGAATGCTTATTGCTGAGATGCCAGTTATACCTTGCCCAAGGAGGGAATACTGAAGATTGAGAGATATTTTGGATTCAAGTGATATGGGATTCAAGAAGAGCTTTTTCAGCCGGCAATCCTATTAATGCCTCTCTTAGGAGTGCTAGAACCCTGGTTTGCATCAAGGAGGTATTAACTATATGATGGTCAATCCCTCTTTGAATGCCTTTATAAGCCAGGAAGGTCAAGTGTGACTCTCACCTCTCCAAGAATCCTGTCTCCATCCTCAAAGATGTGCACATGAAAAATGGCCATAAATACCATCCAAGCAGGGGCCAAAATTACACTCCTAGGCCTTTGTCAACAGCAGCATCCACATTCAAACAGATTCAAGTGATTTTATCTGCAAAATGATGTCTAAATGGTCCAAAATGGGCCCTCAGGTGGTCTTCAATCTCCTATTGTGGGTCAGAGTGTAACAAACCTTTTACCAAACAACAAAGCTCTGCTGGACAGCTCTGTGCAAGGCAATAGCAGCAGAGAAGAATTTGGGGGTTTGCTACCATGATTGCCACACAGTAGTTTTCCAAAAGCTTTGTTCTGGTCAGTATCCTGCTTGTTTCATTACCACTCATTCACCAGAAAGTGAATGGCATAGCTTTAAGAAAAGGGATGTTGTTGTTTAGTTGTTAATTCATGACCGACTATTTGTGACTCCATGGACCAGAGCACGCCAGGCCCTCCTGTTATCCACTGCCTCCCGGAGTTGTGTCAGACTCATATTGGTAGCTTCGATGACACTGTCCAACCATCTCGACCTCTGTTGTCCCCTTCTCCTCTTGCCTTCACACTTTCCCAACATCAGCGTCTTTTTCAGGGAGCATTCTCTTCTCATGAGATGGCCAAAGTATTGCAGCCTCAGTTTCAGGATCTGTCCTTCCAGTGAGCACTCAGGGTTGATTTCCTTCAAAATGGATAGTTTGTTTTCCTTGCAGTCCAGGGGACTCTCAAGAGTCTCCTCCAGCACCACAATTCATAAGCATCAATTCTTCGGCAGTCAGCCGTCTTTATGGTCCACCTCTCACTTCCATACATCACTACTAGAAAAAAACATAGCTTGGACTATGCGGACCTTTGTCGGCAAGGTGATGTCTCTCCTTTTTAAGATGCTGTCTAGGTTTCTCATCGCTTTCTTCCCAAGAAGCAGGAGTCTTTTAATTTCGTGGCTGCTGTCACCTGCAGTGATCATGGAGCCCAGGAAAGTGAAATCTGCTAGTGCCTCCATATATTCCCCTTCTCTTTGCCAGGAGGTGATGGGACCAGTGGCCATGATCTTGGTTTTTTTGATGTTGAGCTTCAGACCATTTTTGCATTCTCATCATTCACCCTCATTATGAGGTTCTTTAATTCCTCCTCACTTTCTGCAATCAAAATGGTCTCATCTGCATATCTCAGGTTGTTGATCCTTCTTCCAGCAATCTTAATTTCGGTTTGGGATTCGTCCAGTCCAGCCTTTCACATGATGTATTCTCCATATTAGTTAAATAAGCAGGGAGACAATATACAGCCTTGTTTTACTCCTTGCCCAATTTTGAACCAATCAGTTGTTCTATATCCAGTTCTAACTATTGCTTCCTGTCCCACATATAGATTTCTCAGGAGATAGATAAGGTGGTCAAGCACTCCCATTTCTTTAAAACCCTGCCATAGTTTGTTGTGATCAACACAGTCAAAGGCTTTTGCATAGTCAATGAAGCAGAAGTAGATGTTTCTCTGGAACCTTCTGGCTTTCTCCGTAATCCAGCGCATGTTAGCAATT